AGGCATTCCTGACGTGTCCCCTTTCCAGTCTTTTTATCACTGTACCCTAGCTTACTTTCTTCAGCCAACTTATTATAACTGAGCTTATCATATTTGTGTATAGTCTTTGTCCCCAATAAAAATATCAGATCCACAAGAATCTTCTCATTTGTTCACTAGTGCTTGCAAAACACTGGGTGCTTCATAAATATTTGAATGACTCATGAACATCTACTACGTGCCAGACACTGTGCTAGGTACTGGCTGAATAATTTCTTTCATCCTATTACCTCTTTAGAACAAAAATATATATATATTTTATATTCCTAGATTCATTTAAATAGCTGAATACTTCTTAGCATTCTCAAAAGGCCAATTTGCTTTCTAAGAAATTGAAAAAACTGGATTTCACTTATATGTGGAATCAAATCTTTGGGGTAAATGAACAAATGAACTACTGTGGACAACTCACACCCAGCAAAGTGATTAAAATGAAAGAAACAAAAAATGTAGTGTTAGTGAAGATATTAAGCAACTGCAACTCTCATAATTTCCACTCCTGGCAAGTGTAAATTAATTTCATCACTTTGGAAGACTGTTTCACAGTCTCCATTCAAATAAGACATAACCCAACACTTCCATGCCAAAGCATATACCCAACAACATATGCTCACCAAAAGGTATGGACCAAAAAAATATGGACAAAAATTACACTACTTGTAATCTCAATCACCAGAAAGGGAAAACTATCAGTACAATAAATTGTGGTACATGCACACAAAGGAATACCATGCAGCAATCAGAATAAACTACACACAACACAGATGTATCTCACAAATAAAATGCTAAATGAAAGAAGCTAGACACAAATGAGCACATGTAAGTCATAATTCAATCAAAGTTTACTGAAAGAGATTGTGCATACATATTCCTCACCTCTGTGTCCTAGTAGAGTACTCCCCAAAAGCTTTTCTACGGATGCACGTGTCTAAAATTGGATCTTTGAAGCATAGATGGTATTTGAAGACATAACCAAAACCGGAATCCTACAATTATTCTTTTGAAGTCTCATGTTTTATATATTTTAAAAATTCATGTGAACTCCGTATTTCATCCATGCATATGAAAAAATATAATAGTAAAGAAAGATGGGTCATGCCTATTCTGTGGATACAGGTAATTCTAGCACAGTGCCTCACAGTTCAGTGTAAAAAGACCTGGTTGAAAGTAAATTAGTTATGATCAGATGGCCTACTTCTCATCTCAGATTAAGCATTCATTAGTGATGTGACTTTTGGCAAGTTACCTAGTCTTTTTTAGCCTATTCTCTCATTTATATAATGAACATAACTCACAAAGTGGTTTTGAAAATTAAAGGAGGTGACACACACTACTCAATGTTATTAACCTTTTCCCTTTCCCTCCCCGTAAGCCAGAAGAACAAAGCTTTGGGGTAAAAGCTATCTTGGAAGAAGTGTAGACTGACTGCTCTTTAGAAGCAAGAATGGCCAGACTTCATCTCATGTACTTTGGTCATGTTGTTGGAAGGGACCAATCCCTGGAGAAGGATATCATGCTTGATCAAGTAGAGGGTCAGTGAAGAAGACCCTCAACAAGATGGATTGACACAGTGGCTGCAATGATGAACTTAAATACAGCAAAGATTGAGCATGGTGCAGGACCAGTGTTTTGTTCTGTCATACACAGGGTCACTTGAGTTGGAACTGACTCGACCGCACATTAATGACAACAACAACAACAAAAAACCTGTAAGCAGTACTGGGATAGAAAACAAGTCAACAAGCTGTTTGCTGCAATATATATATTTTAATTCAAAGTGAATCGACAGTAATACACCATAAATTCTTATTTGACACTCACCAAAAGAGTCACCTGGAAAACCCGCTTTTTGTGACAAAGTACAGAAGGCTTGGTCACATTTAAATCACTGAGAACTAGAGAGAAATACTATCGCAAACCGTAATAGACATTACATCCATAAAATTTTTCCCAGTCCTTATTGTAATATTGCACAGTGCAACTGCTACATGGCAAACTAGTGTAGCATAGAAGTAAAAGCAAAAACAAACAAACCAAAGAAAGCCACAGTCTAAAATTGTTAAAACAGTTAACAATTCAAACTTAGTAATCAAATCTGTATCATTGGGTTCATTAAAACAAATCTTCCTACACCTTGCAGTGTATGATTTAACTTTTACTTAACACAAAGTTTAAAATTAGAAGCAGATTTTAAAAATGAAGACTTCGCTAATACAGTAGCATATTTAATTAAACACCCTGAAGAAAAAACAAACTAATTATCAGGGTATTTTATAAAAAAAAGTAATTTGTAAATTAATAGTATGCAAATATGCATCTTGGAAGTCATGCAGTGTTTTATTTAAGAAAGTGTTAAAAAACGAAGAAAACTGGGAAAAAATGGTTTAAAGATGATATTACCCAGATTCTTTTCTCAGTATGCTAAATTCAGACTTTAGTAGAAGTCTAAAATTTTCTTTTAAACACATAAAAAGCTCATGATTGTAATCAATTAAGAACAGTGTACTTAAATGGGGTATGCCTTTATCAAATATTACTATCATATTATGAAAATGTTGACATTTACTATTAATTGTCAATTTAACAAGACTATCCCAGTTTTGGAACTTAAATTCAGAAAATAAGACATTTCACAGCTCTGAACAGAAAGGAAACTGAGCCAGTTTTATATTGGTGTTTCTGAAACATCTGTTATCGGCACTGATTTTGTTTCCAAGAAGTCAGCAGATACCAACCACTAATCTGCTGGGCCATATAAATATAATTAGAAGGCTATGGAGGAGGTTATGGAGGACAGTAAGTTTACTTAACCCTTTCATGACCAAGTAAGTTTCTTCTCTGATTTTTTTGTTGATATTATGTGTTTTCAGTAATGGAGGGTATGCTGAAACCAAGGGAAAAAATTTCTTTGAGGTAATATGATTTTGATACAATTATGTGGGACCCATGTATCCCAAGTGAACTCTGGTGGTAGGATTGGTGGGGTGAGGCCCTTTTCTTCAGATTCACGCAGTTATACAGGCCCCGCCAGGCAGTAACATGTACTGCAACTGGGATATCAGTCTCCCAAGAAAACCTTAGAGGCTGAAAACGTTGGTGTGTGATGAATGTTCCATGGGTCATGAAAGGGTTAAATAGTTACTCCACAAATTTGTCATCCATAAATAATCTTTTAAATTAATCAGACTACTCCTTTCTTATGTGTATTACATATACATATACATATATATATATCTTTATATAAAATGCATAGAATTGATTAATAAAAACACTGAAATTGTGGGGAAAATTAAGTCCTTCATTTTCAGTGTGACTAAAAATGTACTGCTGGTTTTTATTTTATGATCTAATACTGTAATTTTTAAAATCAATTTCAGGCACATTTATTTCATTAATGATTATTAAATAAAACACTGCTTGTGTTAATGGAGTAAAGAAAAGTTTATCTATTATAGCTTATTGTCAATGCTGTACTAGAGCTGTACTAGTGGTATGCAATTCATTTATCAAACAAATGCTGTAAGTCCAAAACATTTGGAGTGTTTTACACTCAAATGCTTTGTACTCTTTATTCCAGTAAATGCTGTAAGATTATATTCCAGATTTTTAAGGAAAAAAGTTAAGTCAAGCCTGCAAGATACAGCTTTCTCAAGTGTCTACAATGCCAGTATGAAAATAAAAAATTAAGTTACACTGATATATCCAAGTTTTGTTTTATATGCAGTAATGAGCACAAACATTAATAGAGATAAAATACTGATGCAAATAACACACCTCAAAATAACATATGCAATTATTTTCCATCATTTACAATACAGTAGTTACAATGACACTCCAAACAGAAAAGCAAAGTAAAAAATCAAAACCCCAACTTTTATTTCATGTAATTAGACTTATACAGAAATTAGAAGGCTAAATAACAACTAGTTAATCACCTAATTTCACAGCTATCTGAAGTGGCAATCATTATATAGCAGCTTATCTATGATACATTCAAGATAAATGATACAATGTATTACTTGCCTGTAAGCTAAAACACAGCCTCAGTTTTACCTTTCCTTAAATTCCATCTCTACACTATAATATACTTGAGGTCTATGCAAAAAGTAGCTACCTTTTATATAGGAAATGGATGATTAAGTCTTTGGTGCTGTAAAAGCAACTTCATTGTAACATAACCACCACCACAAAAAAAAAAAAGAAAGAAAATACAATAGAAGGGAAAAACCCAAGACACATGTCCTAGGGGGGAGGAAAAAAAGCATGTAATTTCTGTCCCTGACGGAATGTATTAAATAAGCAAACACCACCAACAAGCAAACACATACAATGTAAAAATATTAATTAAAAAAAAAACCCTCTCACATGCATAAATGAAAAATTGCACACAAAGAACTCACATCTTTTCAAGCTTCAATAGTAAATATTCTGCTACTATTTATTAAATACTGCATGGTTTGCCCAGGCTAAGATGAAACCACACCATGAATCAATGAGCATTTTGCATTTTCTTTCATTATCTATTCAAAGTCATGCCTACTGCACCTCTAAACATTTTATTAAATCCAATTATACAGCAAACACTCCCAAAATAAACCTAGATTGTATTGCAGTTTCACTTAACAGTATATAAAATGCTGTGTTGTGACAGTTATCAACTATCCATTAGATACTGAATTAATTTTTCTTAAGCACTACTAACTGCTTGCTTTTCTTGAAGCTAGATCATTCTGAAAAATCAGACAGCAGAATTTAGCTATAGCAAACATGCTGCCCTCTTAATAAGGAAAAAACAGCTACTACCCAAAATCATACCACACAAAACCAAAAATGAACATTACTCTATCAAACAAAAAAGTAAAGAGTAGGTCTGGATTTTAAGTGCTGCAGTCTTCAACATTTATAATAGGTAATAACATTAACAACCTCAAATATTTAAGGCACTATGTGTGGGAACGGTTTACAATGCAGCTGAGATTATTAGAACAACATTTAAGAGCAAAGTCTAGGCAACATTTTGCCCATGCAAAAGACACATGCAAATGTAAAGAACAATAGCTCAGTTTCTTAGGTAAGTGACCCAACATTTATACACTAAGACAGAGATAATACAATTCACTTGTATGCTGTAATTCTGACATATGTGCATCTGTTGCTCTAAGTCTGTACACAGAATGGCTTCCCAAATGTGGACGTGTCTTGCACTAGTTAGAAGGCAATTTTATAAAAAATAGCAGGAGCAAAATTGGACTTCTGCTCCTGTAAGTCACCTGTCTAGAGTTACTACATAAGAAGATAACATGACCAAAGACAAGTTATACCAAATGTGCAAAACACATTAAAAGTGAGTTTTTTTTTTTTTAAAGCTCAAAGTTGTTTAAATTGCACCCTACATGATTCAAAAATAATTTTCTTGTGCCATGGCTAATATTTATTAAATACCATGTTTTTATTTTTAATCAAATGGTTATATCATTGAGCTTCCTCAATATACTGTTTTTGAGTTTTCACATATATGGATACTGGCCGAGTTTTGTTGGACTCAATGGAAATCCAGTATATGCAGGTGACGCTGCAATGTAAGAATGTGGTGGGAAGATTGGTTTGTACTGAGTCTGATGAATGGTTGGGGATGGTAACAAACGGGGATTTATGCCCACTGGGACTTGGTGAACTATGCCACTAGGATGGGAGATATTATAGGTTGGATGCTGTAACATAGGTCTTGAGGTACATGGAGAGGCTAAGAGGTGGGCCACTGGTGCAGCACTTCTGAGGGTAGCTGATGATGGGTATGGAAGTAGAGTAGGCTGTCCTCCGAGGTGAGTACTTCCAGCCAGATGGGCATGCACTGCTGTGTGATTGGGACTTCCATGAGAAAGAGTGAATGGATTACTGGTAACACTAGCAGGGATATAAGCTTGCTGTCTTCGATGCCCAAAGTTTCCATTCCACTCTTGATGCCCAGATCCAAAATGCTGAACCTATGCACAAAGAAAACATAACTGAGTAACATATTTTATAAGTTAAAAAGAAAAGGAAAATTACAATATAGTCTCTGTTACTACTGATAACTCAGTGGATCTCTTCAGAACTAGCTTATACTACATTTTATATTACAACATACTAAAAGGGAGCTCTGGTGGCATAGTGCTTAAGGCATTTGACTACTCACCAAAAAGGCTGGCAGTTCAAACCCCCCAGCCACTCCTCGGAAGAAAGACTGGGCAATCTACTTTCATAGAAATACCGCCTCAGAAACCCTAGAAAGGGTCGCCAGGAGTTGAATTGACTTGATAGCAGTGAGTTTGGTTTTTTTTTTAAATAATAATAATAACATTGCTTCTACTATTGCTAGTACCATTACTAGGCCCACCACAACTAACAACTATCATTTATGGAGCACTTACTATATGTCAAGTTAAAGACTCTACAGCACAGTTTTATTAAATTCTAAACAACCCCATGATATATCTATTATTCCCATTAATTATGACCCAGATTTATTGAAGAAACCCAGCCAAGATCATGTAAATAGTATTGGTAAAATCAAGATTTGAACCCAGGTCTGACTCCAGTATCTGTGACCTTTTGTTTTCCCAATTGAAACAAAACTGCTAACCACAGGGTTGAATAATGAAAAATATTTAATAAAGCTAGATGGATGATCACCATCACTAACACACAAGAAATACAGCTATCAATTCATTATGGTACATGCTAATTTAACAGGTCTAAGACAACAAACACTAAAAATGCATCCAAGAAAATCTAAGCATCTAGTCTTTCCAAAGAAAAATTCAAGTTCTACAAATAATCTGCTTAATTATTTTATTATCAGGCCTATTACCCTTTGTCACGTGGAATAATGATAAGGGAAAAATTTACTAAGACTGAACAGTTTCAGAATCCTTTCTTTGCCAAGTGAAAGACAGATGTTAAATCTGAAATTCAAGACTCTGACACATTTCACAAAGAAGCATACCTGACTGAAGTTCAAATGCTGCTGCTGGAATGCTGATGTCAATTTTTGCTGACGACTACCCACTGCAGAAGGCTGGTTTAATCTTCCAGGAGCAGATCGTCCTTTTATTAATGGCTGGCATGTAGAATCTGGCAACAAATAAAATATTAAAGAGTTGACGCTTTTTTCTCCTCCAGTAAAAACTAAAATGAACTTTATATATTTTACATGCTAGTATTTGAGAACTTAAAATTAAATAAAAAGAGAGTTCATGTTTCCAAGCACTAGATGATAAAGAGATTTCTTCTGGATAAGAGACAAGACAACGTCAAGTTGGAAATTGAGAGGTGACTTCTGGCAATGATGTCCTCTGATGTTTGTAAATTAAGACCTTCTAAAAGACAAGGAAGTCCTAAAAAAGCTGGAAATAGAAATGC